CTGCATACTCCATTTAAAATGTTAATTTTTGGCCGATTTTTGCAAATTTTCATGATGTAACCCCTTTCCTTTTTTCCGAAAAATGGGAAATTTGTGAAAAAAATTTTTTTCGGCCGGATAAAGCTAGAAAGAAAGGCCTGTAGATGCTGATCAAGAATATATATGATTTATGGGGTCGGAAATGGCTCCTTCACTTATTTTTAAGCTTCTGACTGAAGGTCCATTACCATTTTTATACCTATATTAACAATATTTTTAGATGAAATTTTTCGACAAATCAAAATTTAAAAATCTCAATACTAGGCCAAATACGCATTAATTTTAATTCGGAAAGCGGCAGTATGTTAATTTTTAGCAGGTTAACAAAACTGCATACTCCATTTATAATGTGAATTTTTGCCGATTTTTGCAAATTTTCATGATGTAACCCCTTTCCTTTTTTCCGAAAAATGGGAAATTTATGAAAAAATTATTTTTTCGGCCGGATAAAGCTAGAAAGAAAGGCCTGTAGATGCTGATCAAGAATATATATGATTTATGGGGTCGGAAATGGCTCCTTCACTTATTTTTAAGCTTCTGACTGAAGGTCCATTACCATTTTTATACCTATATTAACAATATTTTTAGATGAAATTTTTCGACAAATCAAAATTTAAAAATCTCAATACTAGGCCAAATACGCATTAATTTTAATTCGGAAAGCGGCAGTATGTTAATTTTTAGCAGGTTAACAAAACTGCATACTCCATTTAAAATGTTAATTTTTGGCCGATTTTTGCAAATTTTCATGATGTAACCCCTTTCCTTTTTTCCGAAAAATGGGAAATTTGTGAAAAAAATTTTTTTCGGCCGGATAAAGCTAGAAAGAAAGGCCTGTAGATGCTGATCAAGAATATATATGATTTATGGGGTCGGAAATGGCTCCTTCACTTATTTTTAAGCTTCTGACTGAAGGTCCATTACCATTTTTATACCTATATTAACAATATTTTTAGATGAAATTTTTCGACAAATCAAAATTTAAAAATCTCAATACTAGGCCAAATACGCATTAATTTTAATTCGGAAAGCGGCAGTATGTTAATTTTTAGCAGGTTAACAAAACTGCATACTCCATTTATAATGTGAATTTTTTGCCGATTTTTGCAAATTTTCATGATGTAACCCCTTTCCTTTTTTCCGAAAAATGGGAAATTTATGAAAAAATTATTTTTTCGGCCGGATAAAGCTAGAAAGAAAGGCCTGTAGATGCTGATCAAGAATATATATGATTTATGGGGTCGGAAATGGCTCCTTCACTTATTTTTAAGCTTCTGACTGAAGGTCCATTACCATTTTTATACCTATATTAACAATATTTTTAGATGAAATTTTTCGACAAATCAAAATTTAAAAATCTCAATACTAGGCCAAATACGCATTAATTTTAATTCGGAAAGCGGCAGTATGTTAATTTTTAGCAGGTTAACAAAACTGCATACTCCATTTATAATGTGAATTTTTGGCCGATTTTTGCAAATTTTCATGATGTAACCCCTTTCCTTTTTTCCGAAAAATGGGAAATTTGTGAAAAAAATTTTTTTCGGCCGGATAAAGCTAGAAAGAAAGGCCTGTAGATGCTGATCAAGAATATATATGATTTATGGGGTCGGAAATGGCTCCTTCACTTATTTTTAAGCTTCTGACTGAAGGTCCATTACCATTTTTATACCTATATTAACAATATTTTTAGATGAAATTTTTCGACAAATCAAAATTTAAAAATCTCAAAACTAGGCCAAATATGCATTAATTTTAATTCGGAAAGCGGCAGTATGTTAATTTTTAGCAGGTTAACAAAACTGCATACTCCATTTATAGTGTGAATTTTTGGCCGATTTTTGCAAATTTTCATGATGTAACCCCTTTCCTTTTTTCCGAAAAATGGGAAATTTGTGAAAAAATTTTTTTTCGGCCGGATAAAGCTAGAAAGAAAGGCCTGTAGATGCTGATCAAGAATATATATGATTTATGGGGTCGGAAATGGCTCCTTCACTTATTTTTAAGCTTCTGACTGAAGGTCCATTACCATTTTTATACCTATATTAACAATATTTTTAGATGAAATTTTTCGACAAATCAAAATTTAAAAATCTCAAAACTAGGCCAAATACGCATTAATTTTAATTCGGAAAGCGGCAGTATGTTAATTTTTAGCAGGTTAACAAAACTGCATACTCCATTTATAGTGTGAATTTTTGGCCGATTTTTGCAAATTTTCATGATGTAACCCCTTTCCTTTTTTCCGAAAAATGGGAATTTGTGAAAAAATTTTTTTTCGGCCGGATAAAGCTAGAAAGAAAGGCCTGTAGATGCTGATCAAGAATATATATGATTTATGGGGTCGGAAATGGCTCCTTCACTTATTTTTAAGCTTCTGACTGAAGGTCCATTACCATTTTTATACCTATATTAACAATATTTTTAGATGAAATTTTTCGACAAATCAAAATTTAAAAATCTCAAAACTAGGCCAAATACGCATTAATTTTAATTCGGAAAGCGGCAGTATGTTAATTTTTAGCAGGTTAACAAAACTGCATACTCCATTTATAGTGTGAATTTTTGGCCGATTTTTGCAAATTTTCATGATGTAACCCCTTTCCTTTTTTCCGAAAAATGGGAAATATGTGAAAAAATTTTTTTTCGGCCGGATAAAGCTAGAAAGAAAGGCCTGTAGATGCTGATCAAGAATATATATGATTTATGGGGTCGGAAATGGCTCCTTCACTTATTTTTAAGCTTCTGACTGAAGGTCCATTACCATTTTTATACCTATATTAACAATATTTTTAGATGAAATTTTTCGACAAATCAAAATTTAAAAATCTCAATACTAGGCCAAATACGCATTAATTTTAATTCGGAAAGCGGCAGTATGTTAATTTTTAGCAGGTTAACAAAACTGCATACTCCATTTAAAATGTTAATTTTTGGCCGATTTTTGCAAATTTTCATGATGTAACCCCTTTCCTTTTTTCCGAAAAATGGGAAATTTGTGAAAAAAATTTTTTTCGGCCGGATAAAGCTAGAAAGAAAGGCCTGTAGATGCTGATCAAGAATATATATGATTTATGGGGTCGGAAATGGCTCCTTCACTTATTTTTAAGCTTCTGACTGAAGGTCCATTACCATTTTTATACCTATATTAACAATATTTTTAGATGAAATTTTTCGACAAATCAAAATTTAAAAATCTCAATACTAGGCCAAATACGCATTAATTTTAATTCGGAAAGCGGCAGTATGTTAATTTTTAGCAGGTTAACAAAACTGCATACTCCATTTATAATGTGAATTTTTTGCCGATTTTTGCAAATTTTCATGATGTAACCCCTTTCCTTTTTTCCGAAAAATGGGAAATTTATGAAAAAATTATTTTTTCGGCCGGATAAAGCTAGAAAGAAAGGCCTGTAGATGCTGATCAAGAATATATATGATTTATGGGGTCGGAAATGGCTCCTTCACTTATTTTTAAGCTTCTGACTGAAGGTCCATTACCATTTTTATACCTATATTAACAATATTTTTAGATGAAATTTTTCGACAAATCAAAATTTAAAAATCTCAATACTAGGCCAAATACGCATTAATTTTAATTCGGAAAGCGGCAGTATGTTAATTTTTAGCAGGTTAACAAAACTGCATACTCCATTTAAAATGTTAATTTTTGGCCGATTTTTGCAAATTTTCATGATGTAACCCCTTTCCTTTTTTCCGAAAAATGGGAAATTTGTGAAAAAAATTTTTTTCGGCCGGATAAAGCTAGAAAGAAAGGCCTGTAGATGCTGATCAAGAATATATATGATTTATGGGGTCGGAAATGGCTCCTTCACTTATTTTTAAGCTTCTGACTGAAGGTCCATTACCATTTTTATACCTATATTAACAATATTTTTAGATGAAATTTTTCGACAAATCAAAATTTAAAAATCTCAAAACTAGGCCAAATACGCATTAATTTTAATTCGGAAAGCGGCAGTATGTTAATTTTTAGCAGGTTAACAAAACTGCATACTCCATTTATAGTGTGAATTTTTGGCCGATTTTTGCAAATTTTCATGATGTAACCCCTTTCCTTTTTTCCGAAAAATGGGAAATTTGTGAAAAAATTTTTTTTCGGCCGGATAAAGCTAGAAAGAAAGGCCTGTAGATGCTGATCAAGAATATATATGATTTATGGGGTCGGAAATGGCTCCTTCACTTATTTTTAAGCTTCTGACTGAAGGTCCATTACCATTTTTATACCTATATTAACAATATTTTTAGATGAAATTTTTCGACAAATCAAAATTTAAAAATCTCAAAACTAGGCCAAATACGCATTAATTTTAATTCGGAAAGCGGCAGTATGTTAATTTTTAGCAGGTTAACAAAACTGCATACTCCATTTATAGTGTGAATTTTTGGCCGATTTTTGCAAATTTTCATGATGTAACCCCTTTCCTTTTTTCCGAAAAATGGGAAATTTGTGAAAAAATTTTTTTTCGGCCGGATAAAGCTAGAAAGAAAGGCCTGTAGATGCTGATCAAGAATATATATGATTTATGGGGTCGGAAATGGCTCCTTCACTTATTTTTAAGCTTCTGACTGAAGGTCCATTACCATTTTTATACCTATATTAACAATATTTTTAGATGAAATTTTTCGACAAATCAGAATTTAAAAATCTCAAAACTAGGCCAAAAACGCATAAATTTTAATTCGGAAAGCGGCAGTATTCCCAAGTATTTCTCTGAAATATGGGCTTTGTAAGTGCTTCAAAACGATAATTACAGATATTTCAACAGTTCCTTAAGATTTGTTTCCTCTAAAATTTATTTTAAATCTCTCCATTATTTCCCTTACCACCTTTCTGTTCAATACTTCTAACAGGGTCTCTCTTTCCTAATGAAAACATGGCTGTATTCTCTATTAATATCTTTAATCTTAGTTTAATGATTGCTCGTCTTCCTGCTTAACTATCTCCTGGGTCTGAAGCCACTACTCTCCATGTACTTGGAGGTGTAGTACTTGGTCTGGTTGTCCGATCCCACGGATGCCCTATGGTGGAGGGGTCCCTTGTAGCTAAAATTAGAGTTCAAGTTGTGAGTCAGTTCGAAGGACCTGATGGGAGCTGACTCAACCCACCGTGAATTGAGGATGAACCAGGTGTTGGGTCCCCTCTCCGAGGAGCTTCTCGCCGCTCGATCGCTTTTCTCTAGCAATTTCTTGGCCTGCGGCTGGAGGAGTTTTCCCAGGGTGTAGACGGGAAAGGCATAATATTCCTGCTTGAGGGCATAGCGAGAGCTCTGACGGAGCGTGGGCGGAGGATCAGTGGTGGTGATGGTAGTGATGGTGCTACTGCTACTGGTCACAGGTCGTTCCAGGCTGTCATCCAAATAGACAATCTGAAAGGGAACACTGCTGGGGGAGATGGATGTGGTCTCTGGCTCCGGTTCCGGTGGCAGTTCCACTTCCGTTTCAGTTTCCTGCTCCGTGACCCAGTCTTGGTCAGTTACCAATGCCTCCTCATCCTCATGTTCCTCGTGCTCGTCTTCCTCATTTAGCAGGAGCTCCTCGTGTTCCTGTTCCTGATGGGGCTGCCTCTCCTCGCTGGAGTAATGCCGGTGATTGTCACGATCTTGCTCGTGGGTATGACGTCGGAGCACCGACTGCCACTGCATCACCTCTTGGGGCGAGTGGAATGCCTCGTATTGCTTGGCCTTCTTCCGTTTCCGCTTGCCCAATGGCTCCTGGCTCCTGGGCAGCTGTGTCTCATACGGTGGGGAAGGTGGTGGCGTGGGCGAGGCCTGAGTGGTGCTGGGTGCCTGGGTGGCGACGCTGCTTGGATTCGAGATGGCCTCGTGGGCATAGAAGGGTATCAGTGTGAGATTGAGCATCTCCCGCTGTCCTGGCAACCGGAAGCGCTCCACAATGGGCTTGGGCCGGAACATGGGCGTCGAGGGGGATATAACACCTGTCCCGGCACTGGTTCCTGCATGGGATATCGTCGTCTGCTCAGCATGGTGTTCAGAATGAGTTCACCTCTCGTTCCATTGTATACAAAGATGGGGTAGTTGTCTCTTTGTCCACTTTGCAGGGTGTTCTCGCCGGGAGCATTGTCAAAAACGGGCAAGTGACGACCTCCCGTCCGGCGGTGGCTGCTCCTGCTATTGCTACTGCTCCTGATCCTGTGGCTGGGCTGTACATACTGGTGGGGCAACTGCAGACGATGTGGCATCATGAAGCGTCGCTGGGGCAGGGAGGGCATACGCCTACGAGCCGCCGGCAGAGGTTCCCTTTCTATGTTCCCCTCTTCATGTCTTACCAGGAAGGTAATGGGTCCCGGCTCCTGACCTCCCCGGGCCTGCCTCCGCATAAATGGAGGTGACCTTGTGGTGGTGGCATAGTCTGCCTCGGGTCTATCCTGTCGCTGCCGCTTGGTCAGACTGTCGTCCAGTATCCACAGGGGACGATGCTGCTCCCCATCCAGATAGCCCTGTCCTGCAATCATTCCATTCCAAAGGAAGGGCTGCACTAGGAGAAGGGACCAAGCTGCTACCAGCACCTCCATTTGCTTGGACAAATGTTTGCCAAATGAACCGAAGAGTACTCCATAACCATTGCTTTATAGACAGCAAGTTTGGGGTTTTATGTTTGGTTCTTCATCATGGAAGCACTTGACCATGTTCCATGTTCCATGTCGTAACATTTACTTTCGTTTTGGGCGAAAATCGCACAACTTGTTCTAAGTTTTGGGCTGCCAAAGGTCAAAGAGTTGAACCGGTTGCAAAGACAGTGGGTCAGTTTGGTGTAATGTAGGTCCAAGTCAGAAAGAATTACTTGTAGTTTAGCTTAGAGATCTTGACTAAATCAAGGGTCAAGAACGAAAGAAATTAGTAACCTGGCCAGATCACTTGTCAGTTCTTCTCCAGCATTTGGACAGCTGTCTTTTAGCATGAATGAAATGAGCTATTTTCCAGCTCCTTCTTCCTGGACAGCTGTCAAAACTGGCATTAATCAAAACACTTTTAACTGATGCCCTTTGTTGTGGCTGCTCCAGCTCCTCCTTTGCTAAGAGCCTCGCAATGGAAGTGAAATTTTCGGGCAGCCTTTTGATGGGCAGACCTCAGACCTCGCTCAATTCCCCCCATGTAAGGTCTCCCTCCTATTCCCCACCTCTGTTTTCGGTTTTCGGGGCCAACTTGTTTTTTTTAGTTTCTCAGGGCCACAAGTGTGTGTGTGTTGTTCTGTGTTCTGTTTTGGTTTGTTCTTGGGCCGTGCAACAAGTGGAACACTCTGGGCCCAAAACGGGGTTAATAGCCTTTGACGGACACAAACGGACACGGTCAGCGGACGGACAGACGGACAGACGGACAGCTGCAGGCGGTCGTGAGTTCTCACTTTGCAGCTCTCTCGCTTGAGCCATGGAGAAATGGAAAATGGTAAATGGAAAAATGATTGATTAGCCCAGTATATAGCAGCAGCTTTTGATCGATCAATCGGCGCTTGCATGTGGCATTCTACACAAGATTTTCCCTACGAGTTTTCCATACGAATGCGCCGCAGCATGTTGCGCTCGTAAAACTTGGGCTAATTACCAAAAAAGGAAAAAAAACGGGGGGGAAAAATCCATTTGCAAGACAGGGATGCCCAGGTGGAGTCGCCGGTTGTCTGTGATCCGGGCGAAATGAATCGAAAATCGATGGGAACAAACGCTGCGAATCCCATTCATGTTTCGGTTCATCCGATTCAGATACAGATTCAGATCCAATGTGAGCTATTGCGTGACTTGACAGCATTATTAGGTCAGGAGCGAGGGTCAGGTGCCCGGTGTGATTCCTGGACGGGATTAATTCGCTTTTAATGGCCTCTAATGCGTTTTCCCTTGGAAATTCCACACATCCAGTGGGGCATATCTCGGAATCTGTATCTGTATCTATTCCCGTCTCTTTAGCTGTCTCTGTATCTGTATCTGTAGATGCATCTCCATCTGTCCATCGACTGCTGCCATCAGTCACGCCAACTCGTGCCCATAATTAACAGCCAGAAATATTTGGACAATCATAAAACACACGCCACGCAGACAGACAAAAGAAGACACAGAAGAAATGCATCTAAATCATAGAGATACTTCTACTTCTACATTTTTGACACCACACAAAAATTTGTTCTATCAATTTCGGTATAGAATGCATTTTATGTAAATGAAAGTTGTCCTCAATCGCCGTCGTATCTGGTGTCTCTTGATTGATGTCCGGCCTGCCGTGGGCCATGAACAATAAACCAATCAAGAGCTCGACCTACAGATACCTTGTGGTAGATGTCAAACGATTTGTTTGTCCATTGTCTCATGCCCCGGAGTGTGTTTACATGGGCGAGAGAAGCATCGCTAATGCGCCTCAAGCCATCTCAAGCCTCAGATAAGCTATCTAATGGATGCGATTCGGCATGGAATCAGGTGGGAAGCTCAAGGATTGCCTGGTTCCTTAAATATTTGTAGGAATTATTATCTTTATGAATTCTAGAGAATATAAGTGCAGCACTTGAAAAGATACTTTTGCATCTGGCAAGTGTCTCACCTTACGTCAATTTGGATAAAAAGAATAACTTATAAATAAATGCTTTAAGTGCAGACTAAGTCTTATTACCTGACTGATTCTGACTGATTGATTCGCTCTACTTAGATTAGTTTCTTTATCGCTCTGCCTTGCCGTTCAAACTAATCAAAACTAATTTCGTTATCTATCAATTTGCCAATCTACCTGTCGTATTCGTAAGCCACTTCATGATATACACACTCTGTAGATTGAATTACGTTTCTAAATGGATTCATTATCTGTCAGATACTTCTGCTACGTCTCCTGAATGTTCGAAATTGTTCCTCTCTTGAGTAAGGTTGTGGAATTTTCTAGTCAACAATGCTTCTGTCTTTCAATTCTTCTACCTGTTGCAAAAGATACAAAAGTATCTGCAGGGTTTTAGGTAAAGGTTTTTTGCCTAAACATTCATGGAATTTCAGGTTGAATAATGTACAAAAGTATCTAAAAGGTGTTAGCATTTGTTATTTATCAAAATGGCAATATTTTCGAAAATTCCAGATTTAAAAAACTCATAACTAAGCCAAAAATTCATTAATTTCATTTCAGAAACCTTTCCTATGTTAGTTTTTTATAGGTTCATAAATCTGCATATTCAGTTAAAAATGTTAAAAATTTCATTTTTTGTCAATATTTTGACAATTAAAAAAATTGAAAATTTTAGAAAAAAAATATTTTCTGCTTGAAATAGCCAGAAAGATTCGCCTGTTGATGCTGATCAAGAATATATATGGTTTATAGGGTCGGAAATGAATCCTTCACTGCGTTTCTTGCTTCTAACTGCAATTATAATACCCTGTAATAAGTTAATAGGTCGCAGTTTTCAGAGTTCTAAATATATCCCCGATATCATTTTAATATTACAAATACATCTCGATTGCATATACCTTTATTTCCATAACTATTTCTCTATGAATTTATACATTCGTAGCTCTAAATTTCGTTTTTTTTCCATACAAAAGAGTGTCACAAAAAGGGGGTCACATATGTGCCATACATATATTTCCACCCCCTCCAAGCATAAACCCAAAGCTTTCTTTTGTCCGATTCCAACGATACTTGGTCATAACATATGATATATCTTGAGCTTTTCGCTCCGCCAAGATCGACATCGGATGATGACGAGGAAGAACTAGAATCTCAAAAGCTCTCAAGATCTTGGCAAGCAAATTCAATTAACGCGCTATTCCAGCACATGTGACGCTCTCTCTCTCTCTCTCTCTCTTCTGGCAGAGGTATGAATTAGAATCCACTCCCCGGAATATGAATCCGAATCCGAATCCGAATCCGAATCCGAATGCGTATCGGAATCGGATTCCGTTTCTGCTTTGTGGCTTTTTTTTCAGCCGGCGAAAGCTTAGCCCCGACCCCGTTCCAGTGACAACCCCCCTGTGCCATGTACCCCCTCCCCCTGTAGCGTCTTCTGTGTGTGTGTGTTTGTGTATCGCCCTCTCTCTTTCCGGCCATGTCAGCCGTCTTTGTCTACCGGCGAGGGGCAGCTGCCTCTTTCCAAGGGGCTCAGTGCGAATTGCGTTCTCGAGCTGTGCGGCGGTGAGCAGCGTTTCTCCCGGTGCTGCCCAAAAAAAAAATACTTATTTACATTTATTTGTTGTAAAGATACTTTTGCTTTTTTTTGTTGTTGTTTGTTTGTTGGTTGTTTTGCCCTAATCAAGCTGGCCTAGAGGAAACTGTCTTTAGTTTTAAAACCTTGTATACACATATATATTACACTTGGAGGAGAGAAGCTACGATGGCAGCCCCAGTTGCCGTGCCGGAGATCTCTCCTGGCAAGAAGGCCGCCTTTCAGGTGCTGGCCGGTGGATCGGCTGGCTTCCTGGAGGTTTGCATCATGCAGCCCCTGGATGTGGTCAAGACCCGCATGCAGATCCAGGCCACGCCCACAGCGGCAGGTGCCACACGGAATGAGGTGAGTTTAAAGATCTTATGATAGTATTTCCAAGATCCAAATCAAGAAAACCATTGTTCAGGTCAATTAAATGACATTAATTGACCTTAGTTCTCTCATGAAATTAAATTTTACTTAAGTAATTAGCAATTTTGTCAGCAATTTTCTTTAAGAGAATGTTTTTAGTCACAAGTATCTGTAAGATAAAATCATTTTAGGTATCTTGTAGATACAAATAAAACATGTCTAGCTTCCTATATAATTTATAGCAATTAATAACATCTTTTAACATTAAAGAGAGCTACGTAGATACTTCTTCAGCCTCGTAGCTACAACTTTTTGTTATCTTTGAGATACATTTGTATCTTCTTCAGTCAGCTGTGCCTAGTATTTGTATCTTTACTTTTTGGCCATAGCTTAACAGCTGATTTCTGGATCTAGTCTGTTTTTTTTAATATTTTTTTGGATAAGGGCAAAGCAAGGTCACGGACACACGCACTCCAAGAGTCTTTAAGAGCAACACTTTCCAATGTGTGTGAGACTCTCTCCCGCTCGACTGCTCCATCACTCTCTCTCTCTCTGTGTTTACATTCCCTGGGTGGGTGGTCAGCGGTAAGGGGCGGTGGGAGGTATGGGAGGTGTGAGCAGGGCAGACAATCCATAATTATCAGCCGCCAAGCGGAATCGCTCCCCCAACCCCAAACCCAAACCCAAACCCAGACCCCTTCCCCTTCAGCCGCCGACGCGTGTCGCACGGCTTATCAGCTGAGTTAGCCGCCAAACAGGGGCGGACTTTGCAGTGGAAGGGGGTTTATTTTAATGCCAAGAAATTATTATTATTTCAAAAGCCTAAACCGTTCATTATTACGATAGATAATAAATAAAAAAATATATAGAAAATACTATAATTAACAATCAACATACTAGTTTATTGATTTTACTCCACACCCTTTAGAAATTTTTCAAAATTAGGACCGCCCCTGTTCTGTCTCTATCTCTCTCTTGCCCGCCCAGAAGTGAAATTGAAATCGGAATTATGCTTGATAATAGCACCAACTTTCGATTCCATTTGTTTCCGAAACTGGACACGCGTGTGTGTCATTAATTTATAGGGTATGAAAGAAGGTTAAAAGTAGTTACAGGGAACTTGCAGGTGGGGAATGCGAGATTCCTTTAAGAAATACTTGAAGCCTAGGAATTACAGAGTACCTAACCTATTCTCTATCTAAATTCTATATATCTTTATGCTAAACTCTGTATAAGAAATCTCTGTAACATTATCTCTAATAAACAAATATTAAAAATAGTTTATTTATATATATTCCTGATAGTATAGAAGCCCAAAAAATACAATTATGTTAAAAGATTACACATGTTTCCAACTCACCTATTAAAATCCTTTAAAGCTTCCAAGAGGCAACAAAAATATGGCCCCAAAATATGCCCAGATAAGATAGGGTATAGTTAAACGACTTTTTCTGGAAATCTTAATGCTTTTCGAATGCTCTAGATAATGCTGGGCTGAAAAGTATAAAAATATACAAAATATAAAAGATTAATTGTAATCAAATGGTAATGAATATGTAATATTTATTCAGGAGAAATTGCTTGGTTCTCAATTAGTATTATAATCATTAAAAAATAAGAGCTTATTGCTATTATTATTATTATTACTTAAATATATATATATAAACATTAGCATTCTAGTCATTAGACAGCTATATTTTGCGTGTGTAGGCCCCAGCATAAAAATGTCTCGAAATTGCGACACAATTTCATTTTCATCTGCATCTCTTGGACGACGACGAGGCGCGATGATTAAACAAATTTATGACTGCATATTAAGACGGTCCAGAGAACAGAGGGGGAGTGTCACATCAGGGGGAGGTTAAAAAAGTAACACAAATACAGATACTACAGATAGACAAGTGGAACAATGCGTGATATAGTTCCAGTTCTGTGAGACAAGAGAAGATGAAGAAAGAGTTTCCAGACAAAGGAAAAATTCAGGGAATTCTGATAGTTGAAAGAACAAAGTATCTCAAAGATATTTAAAGATCTAAACTAATAAATACTATGCCACATCCTACTCTCTTCCACCAGCTGCACTACAATGGGGTCTTTGATTGCTTCGCCAAGATGTACCGCAACGAGGGCATCACCTCCTTCTGGAAGGGCATCATGCCTCCCATTCTGGCCGAAACACCGAAGCGTGCCATCAAATTCCTGGTGTTTGAGCAGACCAAGCCCCTCTTCCAGTTCGGTTCACCCACGCCCACGCCATTGACCTTCTCGCTGGCCGGTCTAACGGCTGGCATTCTGGAGGCCATTGCCGTCAATCCCTTTGAGGTGGTCAAGGTGGCCCAGCAGGCGGACAGGCAGAAGAAACTGCTCAGCACATTGGATGTGGCCAAGGGGATCATCCGGCAGGACGGACTGGGGCTAAGGGGCATCAATAAGGGCGTCACTGCCACCATGGGACGGAATGGTTTGTTCAACATGGTTTACTTTGGATTCTATCACAGCGTGAAGAACGTTGTGCCCGAGTCCACGGAGAGCCACTGGGAGTTTTTGCGAAAGGTGACCATCGGTTTCCTGGCCGGCACTTTGGCCTGCTTTGTCAATATACCCTTCGATGTGGTCAAGTCACGGATTCAGGGACCACAGCCGGTGCAAGGGGAAATCAAGTACCGAGGCACCTTCAGGTCCATGGGTCTTGTCTACCGGGAGGAGGGCTTCCGTGCCCTGTACAAGGGTCTGGTGCCGAAGATTATGCGACTGGGACCCGGCGGTGCCATCATGCTGCTGGTCTTTGACTACTCCTACAACTACCTGTTGGAAAACCACGCTTAGATGTTCCCGGCTTCCAGCTATGAACTGGGCCCCCAATCTCCCCCAGCCACTAGGACTAGCTTTTACTACTACTTCTATTTTTTGCCATCGAAAGGGTGGTGTGTGATTCCTCTGTGTGTTGTGTATATAAATAATAAAGCTTATAACTAAATATATACATTATTTGGAGGTGTTTTTAACTATTAATTATTTTATTTCAGATCTAAAATTAGGTTTACCACCTAGCTAAGTGTAGTCAAGTTTTACACTTATCTTGTGTCGGAACTAAAGACCGCTAGACACAAGTTTTCCTTTTTCCTGCGTCTTGGCTAAGGTACTTAAATATTTCCTTAGAACAAGTACAAAAAGTGGTGTGAATCTGCACTAAATTACAGGAATTTTTGGGTGAAATCTACACCATGAGGTCTCTATATAGAGTTTCTTTGTATGACATACGCCCGGCATTAGGGAATTATTGCTTTATTATATTATATTTTCTTTCGATTTATATATTTTGTATATCAGTTCTGTTGCCGAACTAGGTAAACTGCTCTTTGCTAAATAGGACTAAAAACAGTGGTGTGAGTCCAAATTTACTAAATTATTTTTTTTATTTTTTTGAATTTGAATTGAAATATATACAATTACTTTATAGCGCTTATAAATTCATACCTAGGTTTAGTTTTTTGTTCCAGCAACGCTTTATATTTTTAATTTGCAACATTTAGGTTATTTTAGCAACCGATAAAGTCAAAAATTAAAAAGTATTCTTTTATTCTTTTTGCTAGAAAAAATATTTTAAAATTATTTTAATTAATTATTTTAAAATATTTTTAGGTTTATGGTCACACTTTTGGTATTTTTTTCTGTGCCAAGCGCAGTCTGTTTCACTTTTGTGAGTGATGACCCCTCGAATAAGCTAGATCAGAGAAAAAATAAGCCAAAAAAGGCTAAAAATTAACAAAAAATAGCTAAATTGAGGTCCAAGAAACCATACAACATTACTATGTTTTTAAATTTAGGTTATTAATAAACTTTGAGCTAAGTATTGCATTTAAAATATTAAAAAGTTGCCCAATTTTGTTTAATTATTAAAACCCCTTTAACTTCGACACTTCATCACAAAAAGGAAGATTTTTAAATTATCAATAAAGCAGGGACTGCCTTTCGTTTAATTTATCTTTATGTTAATTTAACAACTTCATTTTACCTATATCGGTTATTACGAATATAATTAAATATTTTGAATAAGATGAAATCATTTGTTTGGATGCCGAATTGTATTCAATATTCGTGTCATATTAATGAAAGCTTTTTCTAAGGCCATAAGCTATAGCTTTCATAAGCTTTTCCATTTTCAAATATGGCCAGATTTAGCCTGAAATAAGCTAGGCTGGCAGCACTGGGCAGGACTCGCCTTGCCTGGAAGGATACGCGCTCGCAGTCGTTTTGAGAGGTTCGCAGCGCCAGGTACATCTACAGCTCCACAGCTCCGCAGCAGGCGGCCAGCGGCCTCTTCGAGCAGGGAAAGAGAAAGAGAGCGGAGAGCGGAGGGAGAGAGAGCGGAGAGAGCGAAGGGGGAGCCTGGGGCTGCCTCGGTTCTCCTCAGGCTCTCGCTCCTCCATAGCGCACCTAAAACCTGGCTCGGAGAGACGAGACTTGGCCAGCGGGAGCTTTGGGCCTCGATAAAAGGCGACTGTGACACACACACACAGAGAGAGAGAGAGAGAGAATTAAGAGAGACACTGAAACAAAAACCTGATACTGATTGCATATATATTTTTTTGTTGTTGTTGTAACAAAGTGCGAGTGCAAAACTAAAAGAAAAACAGAGAAAGCTAAAGAGAGAGAAAGATATATAAAGAAAAACAAAGTGAAACTATATGAAAAGAAAACATAAACTAAAGCAATGCCAGTGAATTTTTGTGGTGCCAATTTGTAGCTGAGGAAAAGCCTCGGGTTTTTTTCCCTCCTTCCCTTCTAACCTCCTTCTGCTACTGCTTTTGTTTCCTCTTCTTCGTCTTAGTCTTCGACTTCCGCTCCGCGCAGGCCCAGAGAGAGCGAGCGGAAGTGCGCAGGAGCTCAAGGAAAACTTCAAGAGAGAGAGAGAGAGAGAGAGGCGGGGGGTGGACCTGCGTAGAAGCTGCCATTAGCAGCAAGGGAAACTGGGAACTGCAGCTGACAGGTTTTCCCAGCGCCAAGTGCATTGGATTTTCCACAGATTCTGCTTTAGTTGAAACAGTGCTTTAGGTTTTTCCCTTCTAATTTTTCTATTCATTTTTCCTTTGCTGGCTGCCCGCGAAAAGTCCTTAGCGAGTGCGACAGATAGCAGCGAGTAAAGCCCACTTTTCCAACAACCCCATTCCCCCTTTGGCTTTTCACTCTCTCAGCTACTACGTTCTACAATCAAATACTACGACGACGACACACACACAGAGTCAGAGACCGTGGTCCGCTCAGTCCATTTTCCGAGTTGACATTTTCGGTTGCATAGTTTTTGGGGCAGCGCTTGAGGAAAAACCGGAGGGAGGGGAGAAATCCAAAAGGCGAAAGAACGCATAACGAGGCGCCAGAAATCAGTAGCCTTCAGAAACAGAAACAGAATCTGCGACAGAATCAAATTCGAATTTGAGAAAATCCTCCACAAAATTCATTCGCTTTGCTAATGAAATTTAATTTTTTTTTTGTGTTTTTTTCGGAATCCTTGTTGCGGTCGCCGCAGTCGCAGCAAAAGTGTTAAACGAACGAAAGAGCCAACAAAATCAAATACAATTAACCAGAAACAGAGCATCGCAAACCGTCAGAGTCAGAGATTCTGAGACCTCGCTGGAGACGGGAGATACGAGACAAAAAAAGAAAAGAAATATATATAAAGAAAAATATAAACCAAGCAGTTGAAATCAAGGAGCAAAGGACAGTCAAGGAGTGCGAACAATGTGCGCCGCGCTGCGTCGTAATTTGTTGCTGCGGAGCCTTTGGGTCGTCCTGGCCATTGGCACCGCTCAGGTTCAGGTGAGTCACCAAAAATTTACACACACACACGAACACACCATACAATGCCCCCTTCGAAGTCGCTGAACAACGAAGGAGTAAGCCGAAGGACCCGAAACAGAAACAGAAACAGAAACCAAAACCGATGCCGATGTTGAGACCAAAACTGAAACAGACATATTCACAGACAACGCGTCAACACTGACAGAAATATTTTGGCCTAAAACTTGGCACAAAAGTTAGGGTTTTTGTAAGGAAAAACTTAAAAAGAAAGATAATGAAATATTTCATATAATTCCTTAAGTTTCAAAGTTCAGAGTCCTCTTGAATTCTTCAGACACTAAAAACCTGTTATAAGGACATTTTCACCAGACATATACTTTCTATGACTAAAATTTGACGCAATCTTAACTTTAATGACTTTATACACCATTATAATCATACCTAAAACTATATATATTTATAATAATTGTATAGATTACAAATCCAAAGACAGTTTTCTTTCGTAGTAAACTAAAAAAAACCTTTTATAGGGTACTTTCACCAGACATTTAGTTGCTTTGATCTAGAGTCCATAATTTTTTGACTTTTATATATCATTATCAATCAGATATTTATATGCAATCAATACAATCAATCCGATATTTAATAACTTTTAATACCCGACTTTGGCTTATCTGTCTGTTACTTATTAAGCCCTCTTAAGGCTTCTAAACCCGATTTAGGTTATATTAATCTATTAATTATTTGATCTAGGGTTCTATAGAAATCACTAGAATTTTCTAAAACCCAAAAAAAATTTGTTTAAAAGCTGAGAATGCTATTTTTAAAGTACCAAATACATGTATCTATTTTTATAATGTACAGTATTACATTCTAAATTTCACACCTTTATATGGTTTCTATTAACCCTTGTGATTTCTAAAGCAACTCTGCAAGGTAAAAATACGCTTATCAAAGAATTAATAATAAAGAAATTATAATTATAAGTAGTAGCCGTGACAAAAAAATCTTTCATATTAAAAACTCATTAAAAGCGTATTTTACCAGCATTCTCTAAGCTTTGCTATAACTCCTTAAAACCTATTTAATTTAAATATTAATCAAAATCATTTTATATACAAATTGTTTATATAAATCTTTCAAAACCTGGTCGGGAATAATAACTAATATTATTCAATTTATTGAATTATTTTACATAATTATTTCTTTTATAAAGATAATCAACTTTACAGCAAATTCAAAGAGAATTTCGCTAGGAAATTTATATCTGTGGCATTATAACCAATTATATTACATTGAATATGACTTTGGTTGGGGCCAACACTTTGGTATTTTATGTGGCAATATAGATTCAAATCGCTTTTATATATATATACATATATATTTATTTATATCACCATTTAAGAAATATTATTTGGCAGCTCTAAACACAAAGCTGTGTGTGCCTGCCTGTGTGTGTGTATGGTGCTTTTTCTTTCTCTGTGAAAAGCAGCGACACAAATCCCAACCACAGACAGACACTCACACACACACACACACACACACACACACACACACACACACACTCTCTCTCGCACACACACACACACACTCTCGCAAAGAAGGACAGCTCACGCACACGGCGAGAGACAGATACACAAACACTTGAGCGGGTTTTCTGTTGTGGCCGTGGGCTAAGCAGCCGCAAAGCATGCTACGAAAAATGTGCCATCGCTTAGCAGCGCACTGCTCAAGGGGAGGGGGCGCTAGTGGGTTGTACTAGTGGGTGGTTTATACTAGTAGAGGGTTGTCTTGGCTCTTGCCAAACTAGCAAAACGAATACGGCACAAACGGCGCGAGTGTGCGCAAATATTGGCTTAATTGAACCGTTTTCTTTTTCGCCTGGCCTGGCCAAAAGGGGCTTTCCCCCTTGGTTTCTCCCCCATGGCTTTTCGGCTTACACAACCGCGAGGGAGACACACACACACACACACACACACATATACACTTGAAAAGAAAGGGAAACAGAGGCAGAGCCCAAGCAGCTGGCTCTCAGCAATTTGCATACGAAAGTAGCCAGTGGCAGCGACCAAAAACTAATGAAGACTGCAGAGTTGGGCATTTTGATTCGGCTGCCAGGAGCAGGACAAGCAGCAGCAGCAGCAGCAGCTGGCAATTATCATGGAAATTGAATGAGTGGCCAGGTTATGGTGGCTGGTAGCTCCTCCATCGATTGCCTTGGCGGCAAATCCCTCAATTATTGCCCGGCTTCCAGGAATAAGCCTCAAATTGCTCCCTGTCATGTCCATCCATGTCCTGCATTCAGATTCGCATTCGGTTAAAGGACTTGGCAGCCGGCATTCATCAATTCATAGCTAGACACACATATATGCAGGGACATGCGTGTAGCTGTGTGCCAGGATATTGTTGGCTTAAACTGAAATGCTTTTTCAAATCATTTCAAAACAATTTCTGCTGCTCCAGCTCCTGGATTTGTTCAGTTTTCCCCTCTTCAATCTGCTGCTGTTGCTGCTGCTGCTGGTGGCTTCTGCTTTTTCTTGACGACGTGCCTGGCCTTAACAATTTTCCATCCATCCGCTGGTGGTCCTGCGTGTTTTCCCTTAAATAACTCAAAGCAATTTGCCTTGGCAACGGACAGTGGACGAAGGACGAGGGACCGAAGGACTGAAGGACTGAAGGACTGTAGACTGAAGACTGAACTTTTTGTGGCGAAACAAAAACCTTATCAAATTCATATACATGCGAGTGAGCTCAGGCAATAGAAGCATAAAGGGGGAAAAGCAATGCCAGCTCCTGCTCCTGCTCCTGCTACTGCTGCCAAGGATCCAAATCCCGGCCAAGGGGAGCTGTTAAGCTGCTTTATTCAGCTTCATGCACTGCTCTTGGTCCTGATCCTGCTCCTGGTTCCTCGCTCCTCGCTCCTGGCTCCTGCCTTTCAGTTCTCTTGTTTTGTATGCAGGCTGCAATTTGTTTTGCTTTTCTTTCAGGGTCCACCTATAGCCCACCTATCTCTATCTACTGCTCCTGCTCCTGCTCCAGAGGTTTTCCTCTCTGGCCATCTTCCCTCTTTTGTTTGGCTGATACTTTAATGCCGCTATTCATGCTAGTTCGTTGTTGCCTGCAATTTATGACTGGACTGTCCAGAGGAGAACCCACCAAAAAGCAACCCAACCATTTTGCCACCTTGCCACCTTGCCACCCCTCGGCAGGACCTCCTCACACCATTATCCTTGGGCCAGCCGTCACCGTTATCAGTGGCACGCATCGCCCGTCATCGTTTTTGTGGTCGTCAGTGGTTGCTTATGTCGCATGTACCTGGCACCGTCTCTCCTTGTCACACTGCCACCAGCAACACCACCCCCCTTTGGCTGCATTTTTTCCAGTTTTTCCCTCTTGTTTTTTTTTTGTATACTTTTTTTTGAAGGACTTTACGTTCGCATGTCTGACTCATCATCATCGGTTGGAAGGACTATGTGCAATATGCAATATGACCGAGCATCTACCCAAACACTCGATGCACAAACCCCCCTTTGCCTTTTCTGCTGCCGCCGTCCCTGGCCAAAAAGGGAACACGCAATCGCTGCCGCTGCCAAACAACCCATACAAAGTCCCTTCCTCCTCGGGGTCCCGGGGTTGGGTCTCTGGGACTTTCAAGGAGAGGGCCGGGTGTCGTTGGCCATTTGATTGTCGGCTGGGAACTGCGAACTGTCGGCCAACTTTAGTGGGAAAACCCCCCTCTCTCTCCGTTGGAAGAGGGAGTGTGCAGCTCGGAAACTCGACAACTGAGAAACCCCCGTCCAATGGCACTGGAGTCAACTGAATTAGTTGGTTCGCTGCTTTGCCTGGCTGATAGAAGGAAGGAGCCAAAGGAGGCAACTAGCACAGGGATAGGGGGGGTGGGTACACAAGGACTAGGACACTGCACCACCCACACACCACCTTCCTCGTGAGTCACCCGCTGGGCAATGGGAATGAATCATCCGGGAATCCGGGAATTTGATGCAGTGCCGCCGTAACGGAATTTGCCGCAGCCGCAAAAACTTTTCTGGAATTTCGCGATTCGATCCAAAAATGCCCCCACTACAGTATACAGCACATACCCCAGTTACAAACTTCATTACCCCAGCTCATTCGCACACATTTTCACATGCGGAATGCACGAGTAGGAAATATAAAAATAAAAGTGCACTTGCATAAGAGTCAAGTTGGTGTATCTCCATGTCCACCACTTCAGGTATGAAATGTGCCACAGCGAAAGGGAATCTCTAGTACTTAACTATCTCCATATCAACCGATTACATACATTTCATAGTCACAGTCAGGGTTTTTTCTGTAGTTATAGCAACGGATTAGCATCTAGGTTTTTCCAACAGTGTACTAAACTGATTGAGCTCTCCCTTGGTGGCTGCAGTTCCACTCGACCACAGATCGTGATTGGGTTAAGTTTTGGCTTCAATTGGGTTTGCCGCTGGTCAGCCGAAGTAAGTCACTTACGCAGTCGCAGATTCCTGCCTGCCATTGTTAGTCCCAGTCCCAGTCCCAGTCCCAGTGTCCTTTGACCACGTCCATGTCCTGTCGTCTGTCGTTCATTAGTTGTGGTGTCGATGTCGCCACAAGGACACTCGGGGAGAGCTGGGAGTGAGGATAACAGAGAGTAGGGAGTAGGAAGTAGGATGTTGGGAGTACAGAGTTGAGAGTTGGGAAACTGTAAGCCATGTTGACTGTGCAGTGACCCCAACTTTCCTTCTACCCCCCCCTGTGTTACTTTTGTTTATCCACAGACCCCCCCCTAGACAAGCCATGTCCTGCCTCTGTCTCTGTATCTGTCCTTTGCAACTCGTTTGGTTTTGTTTCGTTTCGTTTCGTTTCGTTGGACTCGGATCGGATCGGATCGGATGGGTTTAGGTTTACGTATTCGTATTCGTATTCTCGTTATTGTCCTGTCCTCCTGCTCTTCTCCACCTTCTCCCCCTGGTATCCTTCCCCCGTATCCTGTTACAAAGCATTTACGCTTCAAT